AGAGTTTAAAACAACCTCGGACTAACTTTGATCGATTTTAAACTGGAACACAAAAGGTGAATTACGGTACAAGGAAATTGTTCTCCCCAAAGTACTGGCGTTTACTCACCATCTGTAAGATAAAGAACTGTTTGACGATTTCTTTAAACTTAAGTACAGATAATTGACAGTTAGTTCTGTTCTCCTCATCTTCAGACCAAAGAATCTGAAGTAGCTGTCGTATTTATGTTCCACCGAAAAGCTGAGATATAGCTCTGTGTTAAATCTGCTAGTGTCAATAGTACGTATGCTTGAATTCATTCACCAGTCGGTTCGCAATATATATATACAATAGGTTCAATAAGGCTGGTTGTTTTATCCTATCATTTCATTAATGAAAGCGCTTCGTATATTCTTCTGACAAAGAAATTATGGAAAAATATTAAAAAATAACTTTAAATGTATTATCTAGAAATTTTCAACATATCCAATGCATCAGCGAATTAAGAATAGTCCTCCAGCTTACTGATAGATAATATGCTAAGGATTGCTCCAAACGATTTTTCTAACTGTTGTGATAATTTACTGTACAAAAAGTTTATCATTGGCGATATTTACGCCAAACAAATAATATAATTGTATAGTTTCGACAAATCATACATATACTATTGACTTGACTGTTCGAGTATTGAGGACTGAGTGAATAAACAAGCTTTACCTTATTAACTCGCATTCCAAGCTTTTCTATCTTTTGCTATATTTTCCATGCTTAGCACAATTCGAAAAACCACGGTGGATCATAAGCAGTCTATAAATTGTTCATAAGTTTAGGTCAGAAGCGTTATTTTGTGGGTACCTGAAGAGAACTTATATACTATTTGTTTTTTGAAACGTGAAGTTTAAGTACAAACGAAAAGTTCTTCGCTGCATTCTTGTAGAAATTCTGAAGAAATAAATTCAGCTGATGTTTATTTCCAAGTATAGAACATGAAATTCTCCTAGTGATTTTTGCTTCACTTTTAAATACATAATTCATCTAATTGTATGATTTTATCAGTGTTAGCCTCCATGAAGTGAATGTTTTTTTACCAATACTTAACTCAGAAGCATTAACACAAAACTACTACTGGTATCAACATTATAATAAATGTTTCATAAGTCTATCATAGTGCACTGTTATATCACTGAAGAATAATCAATTTTTCGAAAACTACCGAGATAAATCACATACAGCTAGAACGCCCAACACGATGTAATATTCAAAACAATTAGTCTCTTTTATAAATTTCGACAATGCAATGAGAAGACGAAGGTTATCAGAATTATGTGATATATTTGCGCAATACATTTCGAACAATCTGATCACACATATACTTGTTAAGACATTTTTATATGAAAACTAAAAGGTCAACTAGACAGATTAAAGGTAAGCCATAATAAAGAAAAATAAAGTACGCAAAAACAATGTGGGAGGAGCAATCGAGATCTGCAAGTAAGGGTGGAGAAACACATACCCAAATGGCTGCAAAAACAAATGAATTCCAATGGTCAGATAAGATCACAGGATAGACAGACATCTTTCTCCATTGCGAAACATTTGGTTGAGACTGGTTATAAGGTTGATATCAAGTCAGCATTTGTAGTGTTGTACAAAAGCCTTCAAGGGCGTTTATTAAGGTTTATTGAAGCCTTGGCTATACGGAAACTGAAACCCCCTTTGTGTTCAAAAACAATTTGTTCTTACCCTTAACCTACCCTGGTAATACTGATTTATTATCCAGAGTGGTTATTACATTGTTTTGTGTACACTGTAATATTATTGGTTACATTTGAATGTTGATTTGAACAGAAATACGATCAATTCGAGATCACTAAAAAATTTAAGAATCCTAAGAAAATTATAAGAAAAACGGTTTTACTTATAGTCACTGCTTAATAGCAACCCTACATAAGTACAAATTAGTGTATGTACACCATCAATACAATGATGAAGACAATATTCTGATAAGGAAAAATAGGGAAGCTTTTATTGTTGTTAGTGTATTAGAAATGAAGAAACAACAAGGAACAGAAATATGAAGGTATTTATTCTGTCTTATTATACTGCTATTAACTTGGTAAATTAATCACTTCCACTTCCGATTATACATCAACTCCAAGTTTTCCGATTCAACACAAAAAATTACATTGAATTCATTTGAAAAAAACTGTTAACCTTATTCCTAAGTGAAATAATGACTTTGTTCTGAAATTCACCTAGTCTACACTTGACTTGAAAATTATCAGAACTTTCCTTTGAATTAATTTAGATTGTAGGTTTGAGAAAACTAACAGAATCTTGACAATATTTCATCTTGTGGATATAACAAGCATTTATTATTTTGCTTCAGCAAACCATCGGATGTCAAGAACAGTTAGTAAACAATGTATTGTATGATATGAAATTGACTGTAACCTAAGTATCAGTCAGTTTCCTCACTGACATATTTTCGTGACATTTTTAACAAGATATACATAAAACATTTTCCTTGTGTGAAAGTACCAGACATCAAACAAATTTTTCTCATAAAAATGAAACTTAAAAAGTTTTTTGATGTTCCCATACTTGACGATGACTTGTTTATTTGATAACTGAAACAATGTACGATCAGAACGTAATTCATTACCTTTAGTGATAACAAAGAATCTGTTCGACGTGCGGTTCTTTGAGCAATAATCTATCATCATGACAAATGAAAAAAATTATACTTATGTAGTGTTCAAACTTGACTTTTCAAAAACCTCACTATCACTATCATCAGTTTTCTTAGCAGGAGTTGCCAATAATTATGGGGCTGTTCAGATGTAAAAATTTCAAAATAAACGCTGTGGTACTGATTCAGAGAATCCTATTTCAATCAGTGAACGAAATTAAAATTATGACTGGAAATACCACAACACTAAGTAATCATCGTTCCATGAATTTCATTAATCAGTCAGTAACAACGTAGAACCTACAGGAACATATGTTCCAGCCAATATAGCTCAGTTGGGTCATCACGATAGGCAAGCCCGACCACCGCGTCAAGGTAGCAGCTACGGTCGGGGAATTTCATTAATATTTACTTTTTGATCGTCTATGCTTCGAAACTGATCTTAAATATTCATTTATCAGGTTATTTTGTCACAGACATGTTTCCTTTAATACCTAACTTTCCACAAATACGGACTCTATAGATTTTGGCGAATAGACAAACAAGTGTCTGTACGCAATAGGTACCTTAGGCACATACATCCACCCTTAATGGTCAATTAATACAAGGTCCAAAGGTGGCTTGTCACCCATGGGACTAACTGTTTTCCATATACTAATATGGTATTAGTCGATGTGTAAAGATATAGATAAGGGAATTCTTTGAGTTTTCCAAGGCTTCGATTATCCAACTTGTTAATAATAGAAATTCCTTCTTCTTTCCTAGTTGGATTATGCTTACTTCTAGCATTTGTAATCTCAAATACATAACTTAAGTAATGATGCCTAATCTCCGACAAACTTGATAACCAGTAATCCTCATGTCTGAGAAAAGGTAACTTTCAAAATTTAACAAATAAACAATCTATCACCAGAAAAAGTCCGATTGTTTGATCACAAATAGTTCACGCAGTCTCTTTTTAGCTTTAGGATGTAAGCAGAAGTTTAGAAACCATTAGTCAGTGGAAAAAGTGAGCTTATGTACAGTGTATAAATGGGTCTACCTATATACATGTTTCCATAGACACTAATCAAGAGCTTATGAAAATGACTTTTCTATAGACTTCAGAGTTACTGATGTTGTATAATTAAGGTTTTATTTAACGTCCACAATATCCTGATATTTTAACTGATTTGATTGAACATCTAGTTAATCTCATCTATAAATTGAAAGTCCATTAAGACTACTGGATACAAACTGACAAATTATTTTGTATAATGTTGATAAAATTGATGAGCTAAAAATCTTCAAGTGCAGTGGTATAATTATCGAAAACTTGTTATACTATTCAAGCCAAAGTAACACACTTCTCAAGAGAAGTATATCGGACTACAATAAGCTGTCTGTCGATCAACTAATTAACATATGGAATGTGACATCTACAGGTAAAAAAAACCAACGCGTGAAATACTATGAATGTTTATTTGTTTGTTACCGATTTAGGAGATGGCTTATACAAATCAGCTGGAAATCACCACCTCAAATACTTTTTTTACAACTTTAAAAGGTCATTGACACAACTACATAGCACATTTTTATACTGAATAAGAGATTTCGGATTTCACCTTATAACCTGTAAAAACGAAGGGAATTAGTCGTGCGAAGTATCCTTTTTCAAACAGGAGTATGGTGTGTCACCTGATTTCATACTTCTCCAGTTAGTTATTATTAAACTAAACTACATTTACCAGGACATATCAAAATATTCTACAAGATGTGAAGAAACCAGTGCTCTAGATACTCAAAATTTCAAAGTAGAACAATCACATAGACCAATGTTGATGCAACTTAAGCTAATAAAGGAGAAACGCACCTAAATTACTTGGTTAAAATGAGGTTAAGTGAATGACCAGCAAAAATCACCTTTTAATGGTTTTTATTTAGCACAGTAAAATAAACATTAGTAACCAATTTAACAGTACCATAAAAACTGATGCACTAAGTAGATATGTATCATGATATTCTTGAGAAAATTGTCAGAAAACAAACTGGTATTTCAATTCATACCTTAAGGTTACAGAAACAGAAATACAGAGAAAGTTTCCTACAAACATTTTATCACAATATAGCTAGTAAGCAATAAACAATTAATAAAAGGAAGTAAGATATAAAAAAACATCCAAGTACAACGTTTTTAAACCGGCAATAATAGTAGTATATATTATTATAGTAGTATGAATGAATCATGCATATATATGGAGAGAGAGAGAGAGATGTTAATTATACACACCAACAGAAAAGTTACTTTGACAAGCGAAAGTTTCAACATAGCAAAACGGAGAAGGAATAGAATAAACTCGACCGAGTTGAGAAAAAAATAAACGAAGTTAAAGCAACAATGAAGATACTAATTATTCATTAAAATTAACATTCAAAAATTACAATTCGGTAATAGTCTTATCGTCTTTTATTCAATAACTTTTCTATTTTTCCTTTCCTATCTGTTATTTGCTCCCGCTCTTCTACTGGTGAAGATGAATCGAATGGATTCATTGAGGTCGACACAGACTGCTTCGATTTTTGGTGCTGATTATTTGGAGAGTTCAGTGTAGCTACAAAGGAACTTGTAAGAGCAGTGGTGGTCGCGGTAACTGTCGTTATCCCTGTCAAAGCTACGTTAGTAATCGCAGTACTAACAAAAGTGCTAGCAGTGATAGCAGTATCTGCAACAGAACAAAATAACGTTACTTCAGGTGTTTTTTCTTTCATCGCTGACTTAAATTCATTTCTACTACGAAATATTTCTAAAATCAACTGTTGTTCACTGAATTTCACACCCTAAAAGAAAAGAAAAACTCAATAGTATTAATTAATTGATTTGCAAATAAAATGAAAGATTTTAACTGGGAAGTTCGCGACAACACTTGTTTCAGAAAACAGTAAGGAAGAGAATTATATAGATCTTGTCAAGTATTCGGATAAAGGATCTTAAATGTATTACAGGTAAATCCTACTGTACTTCAGTAAATTAACAGCGTGCTGTATTTTCCAAGTCAACTGGATTTTGAACAAGGACTTAAACTTATTACAAAGCACATAGAAAAACCTAAGAATATTCAATCTGCGACATTAGAACACTTTACAAAGTTGTCAGTATTCGATTCAGACCGTGTAAATTTAGAAAGTTTACCGGCTTGGGTACGTGGCATGACACAGACTGCAATAATTAGATTTCTTACACTTTTTGGATTATTATAAATTCAAAGGCAGCAACATTTTAGAAGCCAAAAGATCTACCAATAGACCAAATTAATGCAATTATAAGAGATTAAAATAATACATAATGAAGTTGGAAGAGACTTAATTTTTGAGGAAATATGCAGCAAAATAAATGATTTTCTTGATTTAATCTAGAATCTTAAACACTCGAATTTTTGTCGCTAACAATAAACAAAGAAAAATAAACCATCATTACTGTTGACACCAAACAATTTATTTTTTATAAATTTAAATAGTTGAGATCATGAGTCGATTCAAGCTATTCAACTGACTGGACTATTCTAAATGGGACAAAATGGACAAAAATCATGATCAAAACATGATTATAAATTTTAATTAATTCATATTATGGTATATGAATGATTTATTATTATTATTATTATTATTATTATTATTATTATTATTATTATTATTATTATTATTAATACTATTATTTAAACACGTTAACATTGGTGCATAGAGGCACCGAACAGATATGCTCCACATAAATCATTCGATTTGTGTGAGGGTGCCTGCTTCGGTTTGGGCACCCCATGTTTCGGTTGATTCTTTAATCAATAGCAAAGTTCTGCAACCGTCTAACATTCTGTCACGATCGTTTTGAAAAATGTCACCAGTGAAGCGAACCTAACAGCAGTAATGCTTACGGACAAGTATCTATTTAGCCACATCAGTTTAATGTCCAATCGGTAGTATTTATTTTCAGTATTTGCTGAATATCGGTTTTGCGAAGGGGTCTAAGTCACGTTCCTTCGCCAATGGAGCGCATAATATGACTGATTTAAGGAACTACAGTGAACGATTAGTTTCAGTGATATTTCTGTAAATATTACTTGAAAACAGTAAATGATTGCGGAATATAATTATTTATCAAACGTAGATTATTTTCAGAAAACGATAAGTTGTCCATTATATTGCTTACTTTCATATCCAAAACATTTTGTAGATCAGTTTGAGTTAGATCAGGTAATAATTGTTCGTAACTAGCTAAAAATACATTAGCTGCATTTGTATCAACTGGACCCATTACAAATCCACTTGGAGGAGTTGTTGACTCTTGCTTTCCTGGCGTAGCGACACCAACTGGTAACATAACTGCTTTGATTATACGTTCCGCCTTCCCCATACCTTCATGAACTAGATTTGTAAAGCTTCGTGGAGGTGTCTGAGTAAACTATAAATAATGTAAATTGAAAGCTTTTAGACTAATTTTTAAATACAAAAAATCTTAATATTGAATAGTAAAAAGATTTAAACAAAATGCAAGACATTTAAAATTTATTTTTAACGCAATACTGGGGTAAATGACTGTGTTGATATATACATCACAATAAACAAATCAGTGAATTAGTTAGACAAGAAACCCATACTTTCGACTTGTATCTGATATATCTAATACTAGGACGATTGTAGCTAACTTCTCAATCGCTTCCTAGTCTCCTAAATATCTTCTGCACTTGAATATCAAACAAAAGGAAGTATGAAATGAATTTCTATTTCCAGGGCTGGTTTAGGTACAATAGATTAGAATATTTATGGGTGTGACTTTGATATTTCGGAAACTTCTAAAAACATGCTGGAATTGATAACAAAATCGATAGCAACCCAATCAGCACATGACACATAAACCGCCGTTTTTCTTGAAGTCTCTGCTGAACGCCTTTTCCAGCTTAACCCATATTTAGTTTCTTATTACCGCATTCAGACAAACGGGGTTAGCTTAGGTGTACTATACAGAGTTAAATAGAAGATTTATATGCACAGTATATACATGCGTTCATCCAAATCAGAGTCAGATCCACTGGCCACTAAAAATGAAAATAATAATAAGATGTTTTTACACTTTGAGAAGTCACTGAACGTGATATCTATATGTTAGGCGTTAGTATTCGGAAATGAGCGGAATTATAAGAAAATAACAAGGTGATGCTTTATAAGTTAATGTCTTCTGTTATTTTGTAAAACATGATAATCAGAAAGTGGACTCATGGTTAGTTCAGTCAGTCAGCTACAACCTAGGATCAGGCACATATATGCATAGGTTCAAGTTGCCACACCTCATTAGCACACAATGAACACCAAATTCATAGTAGTTAATTCAATGGTAGTAATATATAAAAGAAACATTATGTGTAGTGACATAAAACAGGAAGAAGGAATTAGTTCGTAGAAAGGAAGGTATAAAGCAGCTCTAATCTCATGGTTTAAGGGAAGACAAACAATGTATACACCTACTCCATTGTAATCAATTCTGAGCCATGTCACCCAGTCTCCAACCATTGGTTACGATAGTCGCACGAACCCTAACCAAGTAGTATGCATCCACCAGCATGACTCAGACCGGAAGTTAGTGACTTCGAGAGTTTGTTGCTTTTAGTCTTACCTCTCTCCAACCGACCTACCTGGCATGGTTGAACCTTGAGGAACGATTGTTCTAGCCAATATAAGGCGATTGGTTCATTACGACAGGCAAGCCCGACCACCATATCAAGGTAGCAGTAACGGTCGGGTGAGTCCTTCATTGTTAGTTAGTTCATAATGCATGACAAAAGACACAAAAAATCATTTATGCCATTGATGTAAGACAATAGAATGTTGGTATTGTACCCTAGTCCATAATTACATACATAATCAAAACAAAATAGAATATTAGCTTACCTTAGCTCCAAGAAGAGGCATTTGAAGAAGAGAAGCCTTTAACGATTGAGTATCCAATAAAAGCTGTTCAGCTCCAAAAGTATTGACCGGTTTGCAACGATATAAGGCATTAACGAATCTCGCAATTAATGCATCAGCAAACTTTATACATATTTGAGTAAAAGCTGGCCTAATAATGCATAAAAAAGATATAAGACGATTGTATACGACAAAGACATTGTTAACACATACAGAAAATAGATAAATTACCTGACGGTGTACAATGTTTCTCGTATCAGTGGGATTTGAGTGCGAAGATGATTTACAATGGCTGTAACATACGCGCTTTGGTCCCCAACTTGTACAAGATTATTCCAAGGTAAACGTGCCATAGCGACTAGCTGAGGTTCAACACCAGCTTCCAAGTCGGCAACCAGGCGGTGGACACAAACAGATCTACAAGTTGCTAAACCATCAAGTTCAGAAGCAAATGATATTTTTGAACCCCAGCTAGGTGGTCTGATCTAATATAAAAATCAGTAAACAAATGAACTTCATATAACAAATAAAACGTCGAAATTGATAAACACGACTATTACTCATATGAAATTGAAATAGGACAATAATCGCCTAGTAAATAAATTGCAAACAACTGTTTATCACCTATTCCTATAATTAGAAATCTAACAGCATACAGAGTACACTCAATGAACTATGAAAAACCCCACGATGCAAAAATCAAGTGTACAACAGAAAGCTTCATGAACTAGTTCAAACGAAAGAACCCGAACACTAAGTTAGCTCATCTGAGAAAACTTTTAAAATAAGGTAAGTAGCACTAAACAAGGTTAAAAGGGGATCCAAAATTTCAAAATGGGAGAAGTATCCTCACAAGTTCATACCGTAATGATAGGGTGGGATCAACAAACGAATATTCTACCTTCAATGAATAGCTGAAATGATCCCACCGATTTTACGTTATCTAAAAATGCAATCAAAGAAAACTGAAGATTATTCATTAGTATGTTATCCTAAGGTTTTCAATTTCGTCTATATTTTCAACTGAAAGTTCTAATCATTAAGCAAGAAACCATTAGTCACAATGATATAACTGAAAACCTGGCTAGCTGAGGGTTGCTTATGCATTAAACATGGACTTACATTAATAGATTTATATACTTTGAGTGAAAGCGTATCTGTTACGCAATCGGTTCTTTTTAGTTGGCCAAACAAAAGTGGGTGGGACGAAACATATGGGATACCATTTATGATCTAAGTCTGGAGAGATTTATGACCACATATTTTATGAGAATTGAAAACTCATTTAAAATGATAGTACCTTTTAGCACGTTTGATTAACAAAAGTTTAATTTCATCTATATAATACACAACGATAATAATATTTCTGGTATATTTTCAAAAAATTAGCAGACTGAATGATATAAACATGGTTTCTTTATACAAAAAGAAAAACTGATTATAACTTACTTCATGTTTTAGACGCTTCTCTAAATCTTCAACAGTCTTCAGACAAAATGCTGCTGTAACAAGTATGACACACACCTTGTAGACATCATCCTTACTCAGTCGAACTCCCTGATGAATAAAAATATTAAGCACGTATTATTAGTAGTAGTAATATGATCTTGCTCGTAAATTATCTGTGAAGATTCATGGTGCAATTAAAATTAAGACGACGTACGAACTTACAGAGTATACAAATATTTTTTAAAAGACTAATACATGAACAAAGAATATTCTCATTGAGAAATTATTTCCAGGTTCTACAATTATATATCAAAATTAATAATCCGAAAAGTGGCCACGTTTAGGACAAAGTGCACCGTTTAAAGTTATAGCATGTGAATTTAGGATTGTTAATATTGATACGGCTCATACAGAATGTTAACTTAAATCAGCTTATATGTTAAGTGAAATTTTAAGATCCATGATCAGAATAAATATGAGTCAGATAGGGTGAGAGAAATAACAGCGCAATTACAAATTCAATCAAATGTTTAGTGGAAGACTATAATGTGTAAAACAAATTAGTAAGACATAATAAAGTGGAATGAATGCGAAGTAAACGAATCATGTATTCGGAAGATCAATGATGTTAAGCCAATAATAATAGCAATACAAAAATATGTGAATAAGGATAATAGAGACAATCATATTTTTATGATCAGAATGAGGGTTATTGTGGAGATTGTAATGCACACTGTTGAGAAGTTCCAAACTAAGACGAAATGGCCGTCCGGTGCTTCCAGATTTTCAATGGTAGTCTAGCTTACATCGAACAATGAAGTAAACTATTACAATTATCTCTGGTTGAAGTCATGAGTCAATTGAAGCTAGACCACCATGGAAAACCTGGAAGCACTGGACGGCCGTCTCGTCCTGGTATGGGGCTCCTCAGCAGTGCGCATCCACGACTATGTACAGTAGTCAAATTAGGCAATTTCATAGCTAAGGTTACTATTGAGTAATTGGCCATGGGGTTGGTCAAGGGAGGAGAAGCAGTTGAAGATATTTCTTTTGTACTTGTAAAACAGTGTTAAGGATGTATTCAGATTTGTTGATAAGATCGAAAATGCAAATACTATGGAACAAAAGATGATGTCTTTGGATATGACATCATTATTTACAAATGCTCCACTCATGGATACTGGAGAATATATATGTGAACAACTTAGAGGAAATGAAATCGAAACTACAATTCCATTCAATGTCGCAAAATAGTTATTACTGAAATGCACCATGAATGTGAATTTCAAGTTCAACGGAGAAATCTATAGAAAAATGGATGGAGTCACGATGGGCTCTACACTAGCTGACATTTTTCTAACCAAACTAGAAAATGGTCCACTCAAAAAGACTATTCAAAAATTCATATTTTACTGTCGATATACGGATGATAACGTTCATCCTTGTAAAGATAGTACATCACAACAAGAGATTCTTGGGCAATGTAATGAAGTACCTTCAGCCATTAAGTGTACATCTCAAGAAGGTGAATTAGCCTTTTTGGACGTTCTCTTAACCAAGGGAGCTAATGGGCCGATAAGAAGGAATTTAAACATAAAATAACTGTACAGGGCAGTACATACATTTCCTTAGCTTTGTACCTCTAATGTATAAAAGAAACCTGATTAAAACTCTTACTTACTGAATACGTACTATACGTTCTACGGATATAGTTGAAGAGCAAAGCGTCTTGAGTAATACTCTTAGGGAAGACGGATACTCTGGAGATTTTATAAATAAATATATGATCACGAAGGTTAGAATAGGCGAAATACAAACGGCGAATAAGAAATCCCTGTTCATGCGCCTACAATTCAGAGGGGACGCTGCTAACGTACTATTAATTCAGAGATTACGCAGAACAATCCAAAAATCATTCGACGCCGGAGAACTACGATTAGTGTTTTCTACACACCCAATGGTTACACTGAGTCTAAAAGATGAATTACCTAGAATCACCATCTCATTTTGTATTTATCAGTTTGACTGCCCTTGTAGAGAAAGTCATATTGGTCGAAATTCTAGGAATTTACATTTTCGTGCTCGTAAACACCTCCCAGAGTGGCTAAGCAAAGATCTAGTGAAGAAAGTGAACAGTTCGTTATTGGCTCATTTAGTGCAAACTGGTTATAGTGCCGGTACAAACTAATCCTTTTCAATTATTTATCGGTTCAGTAATTTTTTTTTACAAAACCTGTCACACTCAAAGTCCTTCAAACGGTTGAAGCAATAGCCATCCGGATTAAGAAACCGGAGCTAAAACGATATTTTTAGGGAATTTAAAGTAACTAATAGATCAAAATCCCAGTTGGAATGAACTCCATAGTAACACCCTAATAATAAACATTTCAGGGAAGCGGGTGCAGACATATACAAGCACACAGCAATTAAAATGATATAAATGCGCCGCATAACCCAGTATCGATAACTTATCTTTTATTCGTATTGTCAAGGCTGATCCAGATTCACTGAATGAACCGTCATTTTAATGGATATACTCAGTTAGTGTATTACAGCTCCGCTAGCTATGACACCTTGAAAATTTGATCTTTAATAACGGGATTTCTTGCTTAAAGTGATTACTTCTATTTACTCTCAAGGTAAACGTGTAATTCCTTGTGAAATTGTTGAACCATTCACTTTGTTGTAGGGTTTCCTTCAGGTTCACCATTTATATTAGTCACCATTATTTTACTTATAAAATGTAATAAGGTAACTCGATCGATAATTTAGTATCTATTTAAGTTGAAATTCAATAAAAAGTTCTATCTATTATCCATCACTTAGAGTACAAAGGTATCCCTTGACATTTTTGTCGAAAAATCTTATTCTCAAACAATTATTTGAAGTATAAACACTAAGCATTCCATGTAGTAAACTATCAATTAGACAACGGGATAATTTAAAACATAAATATACCATTACCATGATAAATAAGAGCTTACTTGTACATCATCACGAAGTAAATTGCTAATCACCTGGTTGCTTGATGAACTTATCAGATCAGATTGCGCAGAACTGTATTTTGTTTGTGTCCTAATATTTTCTAGAGCTGCACCGAGTCCCGTTTGACCACGACCAAGTCCTATGATTTGCAATTACGTAATAATATGAAATATGACAAACTTACCAAGAGCTGAGAGACTGCTTAAACCGAATGCCGCCATTTTCGCTGCAACATCCGGTGCAGATAAACCAACGTTAGTTCCACTAGTATTGGTAATCGCTAAGCCTGGAATTTGAGCCAAGAGCACACGAACCGTGTATTCAGACAAATACTGCCTTAAAAGACGAACAAGTCCTAACAAACCATGACCCCGATTCAACTGGAGAGTTTGTTTCAAGATTTGTTTATAGAACAAGAATAAATCTGTAGCAGAATATAGAGTATTCTCGCCAGGGTCATTCGGATTTGGTTTGATTTGTACAGTGTCAAATGGATTGTCTGAAAGATAAGCAATAGACAAAAAACAAGTTAAAGTATGATCCGAGATTTTACGGCAGAAATCTACATAAAAAATTATGAATATATGATTAGAAAACGGAAAACCTGTTTAATCTTAAAGAAGAAAAGGTAAGTTGAATACACAAACCCGCAGATTAATCGAGCTATCAACCTTATAATAATAAGAATGGTAACAAATAAGGAGACTGGAACCCATTTTTAAAGGCTGATTAGCATATACATCCCTCACAATTGATTGATCACTGGGTGGTGATCAATCTCATGCTTGTCTAGTCCTTATTAGTGCAGATCGAATGCTATCGATCATGTTGCAATGTGGCCACCAGTCTAGGTGACTCGACACTGCGGGCACTATGTATTGAGATTAGATGGTGGTTGGAGGTAGTCAACAGGAAACCCTGAAAATGAAACCCGGGTTTCGTGCTACTTGGCACTCGTCAGCAAGGTGTACCTGTAATCTTGAGGGAACTGGTGCTCCCTGGCGGGTTTCCTGTTGACTACCTCCAACCACCATCTAATCTCATATACATCCCTTCTTATATCTTCAGCAACATGTAATTAAATCAGTAAGATGGTTTTATTTCAAAGGCCTAGAATGTACAGTGGTAGTGGTGAAACGACCTCACATCTTAACTAGTTACAAGATAGTTGTTATATGAGCTTTAAAATTTAGTTTGTATGTGCTCTTATCTTCAAGTAGTTCTTCGGCTTTTTTGACTTCTTCTTCTCTGTCCATGACTACTGTGGTCCTTTGTACGCTGGTATTATGACAATATCCTTTCTATTTCTGAGTTCCTTCAAAGCCTTTTGTTCTTGTGGAGTCAGTTGGTTGTTTCCTTCACCTGTTGGGTTAGCGGTACTATAGTTTGTCTTATTTCCTGTTGTGTTTCTTCACTGATTCCGGAAGTTTTGAGTGATGACTCTAGTGGTGCGAAGAATTCCAGCATTGAGGCGTCGATTGTATTGTAGTTTAATCCTTTTTTGGAGTAGGTGTTTTCCGTATTTGTTAGTGGTTGTTTTGACAAATTGATCACGCAGTTGTTTGTGTTTTCTTTCATGGGTGTTTTGAGATCTTGATTAGTTTTTTTCTTTAGAGTGTTTCTTCCTTGTTCTGTGTCGTTTGCATGATATCTCGATGGCTGTTGTCAAGATTTCCAAATGTTCTGACGTGAGTTTCCTTTGTAGCTTCATCTTTTGGTCCTCTATGACGTGTTGGTATTTGCGGATCCTGTAGTGTGCATCCGTTATCATTAGGTGTACCATTTTTCTTCCACTTCGCTCGGCTATTTTCCATCCTAATGTGCCCATTAGGATGAAAAAAAGCTTTAAAATATTGAACAGTGATTTTCGGAAATAGAAGAATAACAGTGTGAATTAAACTTCTATTATGCTAAATCAGTGGATTTCGGTGACACCTACTGAATTGGTACATGTCCAGAAACTCATTCCCATCAGGCTCCGAACACGATTAGGGGCAAAGGTAACTTAGACGTAGACGGACAAAATGTCTACCAAATGATCGTGAGGAATGGTTGGCAGCGAAAGCCAAATAGGTGAAGGTAGAGGCGATAAGTAATAACAGACTTTTCAGATGGGACAAAAAAGTGACATCAATTTAGGTCAATATTTCCTGTACTAATTCAGTATGAGCTCAGCTAAATATGGTAGATGTGGACTGTCGTCTAATATGACATTTATACTTCCTGCATCAATTCAGGTGAACTACACTTAGTATGTATGCTTTCGCAGTAACTACTTATTTTCCCTACCGTGTGTAGAAATCAGTATATAAATGAGTATATTTTGGTCTAATGAGGATGCTTTTTGAACTTTTTTATAGAGTTGATAAATCTTCATTGCACCAGTCTTTCATGTTCTTACTTCGCGTCATGGGAATTCACAGGGCTCACTTTTTCCAAATATAAACAGTAAGACCGAGGACACAACAAAGGCGACACAGACAAAATATCCAGAACTACCCGAGTTATCCACTATTCCGAAATAATCGGAACTGGAGATTAAAACAAGTCCCCAGACTATTATTGAAGTTTAAAAGGTTGTAGCTAATCTGGAGAAACGCACAGCACCGCAATCAGATGGACTAAATCCGAAGATCTTTAAGTATAATAATTAAGTTTTAGAAATTAGATTGACTGAGACCTTAGTTAAGGTCTGGAAAATGGAATTAATGCCACATAACTGATCTCAGACACTGAACGCTCCAGTTTATAAAAAAGGATAGAAACCGTCTCGTGATAACCATCGAGAAATCAGTTGGACTAATTTACACAGAAAGACAAGTGTGCCAAATGGTATATGCGATGATGTGTTTTACAGGATCTTGATGAATAATAGCTACATTAATGGCAATACGTGGATGTACTGACATATTTGTTCCTGTCAACTGGATAAATTTACTGTTTCATAATAGAGTTTCCACAGGTGTTTACCTTTTGAATAGTGTACTCTTCAAAACTGGAGCACAAGCACCAAACTGAACTACATTAATCTGAAATAACTAGTAATTATGTTTAGTATGATGAATATGTGGGTACTTCTATTTCCTTCCTAGTCAAAAGTAATAAAAATTGGATGTATCTGAACGTGGATATCCGTAATAAAAATATCAACACTGCGATAAAAGTCAGATCATATCACTCTGACTAGCGATGTCAGAGTTGGAAATTACAGCCGAATAACCGTTACGATTTAATCAAATGAATGTACATTTTCGCTTTCAAATAAATAACGGGAAAAATTTAAAGGCAGGTACACTAGTCGTATTTTTTACTTAAATATCACACTTCTAACAAACGAAATTGTTGTCTATTGATAGTGTTAGATTCAGAAGACGTGTTACTAAAATGATAATGTAAACAAGTAGCTTAAGTTATTATTTGTTATGTACCTGTGAATTTAACTATGTTTATTATTATTTTATTTTAACACATAGATATTGGTACAAGGAGGTAACAAATATATATGCGCCACACAGATCTCATTTGATATGTGTGAGGGCTGTGATACTTCCCGGGTGTCCAGACCGAAGCTAGTGGTTTTCTTAGGGGGCCACACCACGAGCCTTTGACCTAAACGTCTGACCCACAAGGCAGTGAACCAACGTCAGGAGATACAGTCCCATGGTAGCCGGTGACCAACGATTGGTTCATACGCCATTTGTTCCTTTATGATACGGGGGCCCATGTGCACCATTGGTTTGGAATCAGGGTTTACCCACTCCCCTAGGTGAACTCACGGTGTCCACCAGCCCGGTTAAAGCGCCGGACATTCGCTTTTCGTCCTTTCAATTTCGCGAACAACACCCCCGCCACGAGAAGGCAGTGAGTAGGACTGCCCTGGCAGAAACTATACACGCGTGGCCATGTGAGAGCATTTCGAGAGGGAGAGCTGACTCTCCCCACCCTCGGCCGTACTAGGGCATTCGGGGCATTTAGCTATGTACACAGATACGAGAAATGCTCTATCTTCGATAGACCTACTATGACCTACCTTTTGAAGTGAAAATTTCGAAATTAAGTTGCAGAGAATATGCAAGCATTTCAAAAAACTATCCATACAACTTAATAACAAAATAGACAAATATGAGTAATATTTCACCAATTTGTAACATGTTACCATCTCTGAATACATCTCCAAGATCCCTGTTTTCAAAACTTGATTTATTAACAGTGAAATCACCAATCAAACGATTTGTCATTTGTTCTCTCAGACCTTTATCCAAATGAACCAAATAGAGGTCAAAGAATTGGTCGAAACAGCTGAAAATAATTATGAACAATAATTCATACAGAACTGATATGAAATCTTCGTACATCATTCTTCATGTCATTATTATTACTGTCACAAAGCAGTTACGGAGGTTGTTGAATCTCATTGAAATCACGAGCCAGTGGAAGTTAGACCACCATTGAAAACCTTGAAGCACTGGACGGTCGTCTCGTCCTAGCATGGGACTCCCGAGCAGTGGGCATCCACGACTACGCACGCGAGAGTCGAACCCAGGACCTTCGATCTCACACACAAACCTTCAACATCTAACGTTCGCGCGCGAGAACGGAGGTTTCGGGTTCGGTTCTCGCATGCGGGGTCGTGGATGCTCACTGATGGAGAGTCCCATGCTAGGACGAGACGACCGTCCAGTGCTTCAAGGTTTTCAATGGTGATTTAAGTTCCATTGGCCCGTGATTTCAATGAGATCCAACAACTTCCCTAACTTCTTTCTGACAATAATAATGATGACAAAAAGAATGATGTAAAGGAGAAGTAGAAAAGATGGCGAAAAAGAAAAAAAGGAGGAAAGAAATGCATAAAGTGATTAGGCAAAAAAATACATAATGGGACAATATTATCTATATTATGCAACCCTCAGGATTACAATATATCATTGAGCGGAAATAAACTCAGACACAATGATAATCACAACGCCAAGGTGTTGTTTTCTGAAATAAAACTGACTGGTTAATCCTTCAACAACACTAATAAACTATTAAAGCATAGGTAATGATGTACAATATTATGGTTGATGTAATAACAGAGGAAAAACGTCAACCAGTGAACATGATTAAGTGATTAATGTTGGTTTGAATTTACTAATTTCGTCTTGTGTTTAAATAAGAGATGAAACATTGGCTTATTAGTGGCGCCAAATTACTAAATGTTATAAGGTAAACTCATTCAATCAGGTATTTATAAAAAGATATCAATGTACTTTGAAGATAGTGTTCATTTTAAATAAATACTAGAAAAAGAAAACAACCCACTTTTTCTCATTATAGATATTATCAACTCTTAAGTTACAAATATAACGCATAACTTATTTCGCCGATGAGTTCTTTTGCACAACCATTTACAACATTATAGTACCAACTAGGCACTTGAATATCCATGTTGAATATCACAGTGTGGGGGTTCATCTGTAGCGCTTTGAAAATGGCAGCAACTTGCTTCTAAATAGTTCTAGATCCATTAACACCACAACACTAAAAGTGTTTATGTTCACACTTATATGAAAGCCAGTGAGTTATTTATAACGAATGTACCCACCTAAAATGAAGTGAAACTAAATACCCATCTAGCAACCAGTTTGTTGGAAAGAGACTCTTAACTTCACTTACCATGGAAATATTGAATGATTCACTATAACAGTTTTGAAAACGTTGATCTTATAAACTAGGAATTTGAGCTTTTTAACACACGATGGTCATTATATAATCTCAACCTATAACTGGTGAAATGACACTCATAAAGTAATGATATGGAAAATCCTACAAACATACATCACACCAACGCTGAAACGAAGCTAAAACAATACAGTACATTTATTTCACTCAATGAATTAAAGTTAAATATTCGACGAGTTAATATTTTGAGGATTTCCCCAGTAACCGGAACAGTATTTAACTACACAAAATTATGGACTAATAAGATTTATACTTACTTACCCAGATATAATTCCATCAAAAATCTGCTTTTTCCAATTGTGTTTAGAATCATTTGTTGATGAATCATCCTTAGCCTCTGCAGGATTTTTAGATTGTGCATCATCTAAACCATCTTCCTCATCCTCATTATCATCAAATGGATTAGATGAACGCTCCATACTCTTACCGCTAACTATCATAGATTGTAATTCTTCTAGCGCTTCAGACGTATATGCTTTATTCAAACTGGCCTCGAAGGATAAGGTGCGTTGCAATGCGAAAACAATTAGATTATGGGTAAGTTCCGACTGACGTCGTTTCATAACAGTTTCTAAGCCACCACGTGTAATATGACAAAACTCCAAAACAAATCTAAATAGTTAACATAAATCATTATGAAGAGTTTTCGGGAATAGTTGAATGAGTACAGTATATATGGCAATAAACAAGTTTTCAAACTTAGGTATCAACCATAGTTAACACGGAAATACAATTTGTGTAGGCCGTGTTAAGTATACCCTTATGTATATTTGTTTTGTGAGAAAATGTATAAATATACGGCGTTAAAATGAAGATAGGTTAAAATATATAGAAATGTACTTTAGGACAATAGTTTGGTGATCTTGGGAGTATAATGATCTAGAGAAATGATACAGACTTAAATTTGAAAGAATATGAATTTCATCGAGGCCCCAGATAGACCTCTCTGATTAACACCGACAGGCTTGAAACCTAACTCCACAGCCGCTTGATGATACCCCCTAATCATTCAACATCAAATACTGTGCATTTTAATCCCAAGCCAATTAAATAGTTATTTTTTGGACTTGATCAGTAGATGTTGATCAAGCCTAGTGGAATATATAATGTTACACTAGTTACACTAGTGTGATTGAATATAGATTAGTAAAAAGTCACCAGTAGTTAAGTTATTAATTAGAGTGTACAGCTAACAATATGGCGCCCACCCTTTTCAGAAGTTTTATGATAATCAAAATTTAAAAATACCAACTGTACTTTTCCACCTTCCAAATGGCAAAGCGGGGTGACTTACCTGGTGCAGCAACCATGAAAAAGAACAGAAGTGATTTTTGACCCTACCGAAAAACAACCGCAAAATAAATCCTGTATTGGTGGTAACTTACATCTAGATAAAGGGGTTAACATATGTAGTCAGTATCTAATGCTATGAACTTTGTTTTCAGAACCTTGTTTCCCTAATTAAAATTTGTTGTTTACCAAAATTTCAGTGATAGTCTCCTAATGGTAGAGCACAAATTGTTATAATATATTAAATAATCCACTTAGCTTAACTTTTTCTCCACCACTATCTTTCGACTGATTCTAGCATGACTATCAGGAAGATTTGATTTCAGTGATGATTTTAAAAGTGACCCATTGCTCGGAACTCATAATACTGAGGTCTGACTTTGATTTTGTTTCAAACCTCGATAATCATTTTAAGGAATTGCATACATATATTGTAAAAATGGTAATATATTCGTAATAACACAATGAGTAGAAAATTAAATTTCTGACGTTTTTGATCGTAGGAAACATTTTTGTAGTTCCTTTGTGCTATTTAAACTTGCGTAAATTTAATATATTTATTTACTTACTCTCTGAACAAGCGACTTCACCTTAGTCACGAAACGTCGGACATTTAATTTTCTACTCACTGAATTATTACAAATCCATCATTACTCTTATTACTGAGACCTAGCTAATGCGCAGTTTATTCGAAATCGTCAAGTCAAACCCTGGTAATGATACCAAAATACATCTATGCTACCAAACTTAACGAAATAAATTTAGATAACCATTGATAAAGTACTACACTAATCCTAAGGTGACTATATATTTGAACTTACCTTTCAGTCACCAGCCAAGAGGGAGGAAACACTGAAATAAATAAACGTTCTAAGGGGACCAAATTAATTCTTAACCAGTTGTATCGCTGATCGATTTTATCCAACCAAGCAGTAGTCTGTGTTGGATCGAATAGCTCCTTATACTCAGTTAGATGATGAGAGATAAACCAATTTACAATATCCGAATCGAGATGAAAACTCTTAGGGAGTAAGTCAACTAGTTCACAGGCTGATAAAATCAGTTCCTTGTTATCTGTAACTGTTCGAGTAGCCTAGTATTAGGAAAACAAAGAGAAATGAGTTAGCAAACTGGTTACCAATATGGGAGATTATATATATAAAAAGATGTTGGTCGATAAAAAGATAAATTTATGTTAACATATATAAGAGCATGATGATAAGCACATTTGCTATAGAAATCATGACTTTAGCTGCATCAAGTTATTTGATAAAAACACAGAAATAAAGAGGTGATTTCAGAGAGTCAGCAACTAAGCTTCTATGAATCCAGCTGACTCTGATAGGCAAATTTAACGTGAAATACATTAGCGATTTTCGCAGAACTATTTGTCAAACTCATGAGAAACGTAGACCAGACAGAAAATGTAAACTTTACGAAACGTATGACTGTTTCAAAATTAATACTGATTTTTGAACCCCTTTCCAAACTATCGCGACGATATATACGTATAATTCAGAAAATCATATGCTACTGGTTGTAGTATAAAAGAATGACAAATAAAAGTACCAATAACCAGCCCGCAGTGAGGAATTCGTTACAGAAGTTTGGATATTCGGTAAAAAAAATCTGATCTTTCTAACTGAGAGGACAATAATGTAACCAATTACAAAAAGAGTACCTAATAAGGCCATAGAATTATCAGAAAAACATAGCTCACCAGTCAACCCGAACCGTACAAAATGAACTAATTTCGGTTGTTTAGGTATACAGTAGCTAATAAGTGGAAGTATGGATTCTGTATTTTCATTTAGAACTTAAGCACAAACTAACCTTCACTGAGCATTGTTAGGAAAACTAAGAATTTGGGATTAATAGCACTATTTAAACGAATATCTTTGAGTTAGCTAAAAAAAAAGAGAAAAATGAGTTTCTATAAGCTTAGATATTGATTGTTTTACTTGAGTACTGTTTGAAAGATGAATTCAACCTGAGAAATGCAGTGTACACATTGAAAAAGGAACCTTCCGACAAGTCCAGACAATAGAAAGCTCATGAGGAGTATAAGAATGTGGACAGAGAAATGGCACAGCGGTTAAAGCACGGCTTGCATATTCTAACCACGCAACACTACTATTTGAGTATTATTGTAGTATCGCCAGCCCTCATAAAACTCCGTAAATGTGTCACATTATTACAAGAATATTGACTGAACAATATAATTCCATAAAAACGACCAGTACAAAATGATTGTCAAAACGTTTTAGCACACAAAAATGCATTTTGTTATATAACATTTCATTAAAAATATGGATCCTAACATAAACTGGTTCAACTCAGAACGTCTATATATTTCTTAGAACACTTTTTCATTAAAAAAGAACAAAAAATAACGATTTGGAAATATATCTACATACTGCTAGTAACAGTTTGAGTTCCTTAGTCAAACGATCTGCAAGGACTGAATGAATGGAATCCAATTCTCGAGATAATCCAGCAACAGATGACACTGAACCATAGGCTAACAGCATAGGTTGTAATAAGCGTTGAACTTGAGCTAATAAATTTGATATTTCGGCCAAAAAGGACGGTACAAATCTTTGAAACTTTGTTTTTTCAGGTGGATGGTTTTCATTCATCCAGGATTCTTATTTAAAATTGGAAAAATCATTTTAATGAGAATATGTGGTTGGACTCTAGTTACGTCCTAAAAATATTGGGGCTCAGAAACTACATAAATAAATTCGTCACAAATATGACTACTTTCAGGGTAACAGCTAAAACTACTAACAAACAAATGGTTGAAGTGAAAGCGAACTTGATAACTGAACATCAGGTTTGAAATCTCTAAGTAATGTTATACAAAGACTGGGTACATACTCTATGTTCTTAGTTCCAGACTCATTCCAGTAAACGAATCAGTTAGCATTCTGTATAGGAGGAAGGTATTCACAATTAAAAACGATTATCTATCCATATCAAACCCACTCTTCTTTCACAGAAGCGAACCTAAATATTATCTATCTAAATCAGATAGCGGTTACTTCTATAAATATGTTAACAATGATACTGGTGGGCTTAAACCAGTGTAAAATACCACCTAAACTTTGGAGGAAATAATCCATCCATGAAATACAGACATAGTTTACTAATTAGAAATAAAGCACCAATGAATTTATATGAAGGATTTCGTATGAAGATTTTTCTTGTAACATGAATAAATAAATATACAAATATCCTGACCGCAGTTGGTACCTTGATTTAATGGTCAGCCTTGCCCATAATGATGAATCAACTAAGATTTATTAGCTGGAACACATGTTCCTTCAAGTTCCATCATGCCGTGCAGGTCGGTTAAAGACAGTAACTTAAGGTTCGAGTGCGAAGTCCTATTGGTGGCTGTAGCGGGTGTGACAACAGCAAAGGTTTTCCCTCAAACAACCAGTATCTGTAGTGATGTCATCTCGCCACGGATGTTCATCTCCGGTAGTAAGGCCTTTTAAATTGCGAAGATAACATAACAAAAACTACCCACAAAAAGCGTCATTTCATTTCATTTTATTTGTGTTTGGGCTGTGATACTTCCCGGGTGTCCAGACCGAAGCTAGTGGTTTTCTTAGGGGGCCACACCACGAGCCTTTGACCTAAACGTCTGACCCACAAGGCAGTGAACCAACGTCAGGAGATACAGTCCCATGGTAGCCGGTGACCAACGATTGGTTCATACGCCATTTGTTCCTGTATGAGACTGGGGCCCATGTGCACCATTGGTTTGGAATCAGGGTTTACCCACTCCCCTAGGTGAACTCACGGTGTCCACCAGCCCGGTTAAAGCGCCGGACATTCGCTTTTCGTCCTTTCAATTTCGCGAACAACACCCCCGCCACGAGAAGGCAGTGAGTAGGACTGCCCTGGCAGAAACTATACACGCGTGGCCATGTGATAGCATTTCGAGAGGGAGAGCTGACTCTCCCCACCCTCGGCTGTACCAGGGCATATGGAGGCCACAAAAATGTAGAGCACGACCAACCTCAGGCAGTTGTACATTGATGTCTGCGCTCACTCTCCGAGGTCACTAAGACCACCACTAACTCAGCTACCTTTTCAGGTCCCACAAGAAGAAATATCCTTCGACGGTATGAGAAACCATTGATCGGTTCATGATCTTTGTCAAAAAAATTTCCCATATTTATTTGACTTTGTCATAGATATCCGTTAAGAGATAACGCTCTCATTATCTGACTTTTCAAGGGTTGATCTATTGAGAGACTCACTTGTTGACTTTTAGTATTATAGGAATAACACCTATCTCACAGCTATTATCAAGGGAAAGCTTTTGTCATAAGAATCTCGTTAATCAGAAAACTGACGTTAATCTTATTACTAAGCAATCGTAATCCAGCTCAATACGTAATTACTGGTCTCTATACTGTTATGTGAATCAAATGTGTCATGTGATGGGAAATAATACTACCATTTTAACCAAAATTCGCTTTATGAAGAGTTCAAGCTGATGTCCTGTGAAACGGTACCCATGAGAATTAATTTTAGGTGTTTTAATACTTTCTCAAAACACTTACGTGGATGGCTTAAACACACTTTTTACTTGGTAATCATCTTAACCACTTCTTCATACTGCATTGTTCCGTTTTTTAAGGCAGTTGAAAAGCATTTGAGGTTCGTCGGTTTGCTCTCCACTCAGTACAAACAGTCGGTACACTGCCCAGTTCCTGACAGCTCATATACAAGCACAATGTTATCCGCTGGACATCTTCAAACTCCATTAAGAAGTCCGAAGCGACTTTCAAGCGATTCATTCCTTTCAAATGATTTATGTAAATTAACGTATTATCGTTTTGCATCCGATGCCAGTCTACCATGGCGTGTTTATGCAACGTTTTGTTGGGCTCTAACAAGCTGTCTAAGTCAATATGATGGCTGTTTTGCGTAAGTTCCGCTACTTTATTATAAAAATTGCTCCCTCCTTATGCATAAAAGTGAACAGACTACTTTGCTGATCGATTTATATAAAATAGCAAACTTATGCATTGCTAAACCTTACATTAATAAAGCGACCTGTTATTGAAATTGATAACTTCAAGTGGTGTTTGCCAGGGTTGCCCGACTTTCCATGTTTATTTGACTTTGTCATATATATTCGTTAAGAGATAACGCTCACATTGTCTGAGTTTTCAAGGGTTGATCTATTGAGAGATTTACTCGTTGACTTTGAATAAGCAGATAATGTAACTCTGTTCGTTTGGGACTCTGATAAGATTCAGTCTTCCGAACACTTTAAGCAACAATGAAAGGATGTTTGGGATGAAACTCCTTCCCTCCAAATGCAAAATGTTGCTTCAGGACCGGTCCGCGTCAGCACCCCAATCAATGATAGGAAGCGGCGTAGTCGAGTGTGTCGACTAATTCACTTATCTTTGGTGTTTCATCAGTCTTTGTCGGCTGGTGTCTGACGAAGTCTCGTTACAAATTAAGAAAGCCCGACTGCATTTTGTCAACTCCTGTCACTTGTGGTGTAGGGGAGATATCTGCTTGCCAATCAGAGGACGAGCTTACTGCGCAACAGTTCGTCTTGTTCTATTTCAAGGGTGTGAAACACAACTATTAAGGATAAAGGATATTCGTAAGTTACTAGTATTCGATCATAGGTGTCTTCAAAGCATTGTTCATGTATCTTGGGATTACCGAGTAAGCAATGTCTGGGGTTAGGAATAAATTATCAGGTAAGGATGGCCAATCGATTGACGAGGTAGTGAATCTTCATCAACTGAGGTGGTTGGGACATGTGTTACGTGTGCCCAACCACCCCTTACCTTGATGAGAGTTGTTGTCTGGTGTAAGAGTATGCTGGAAAAGAGCTAAGGACGGCCAAACCAAAACACGGCACCAGTCCATGAAGCCATCGGAGATTTGACTGAGCCATGAAAACAGTTATAGACTACCTAGCTGGGCTTCGCGTGATTATAGCAATCAGTGATCAGAGACTTCGAATGACCTGTCTCAAAATCGTTTGCAATGTCGCAGGTCCGTCCACTCTTTGTCTTACCACAACTTGTAAGCTGATGATCCCTCATAATTTTTTTATTTCGCTAATTTAAATTTTCTTGAATTGTATATTCGGTGCCCAATCTTTTCTATTACCACTAATACTGTTACTACCTCTACTATTCTGAGATTTAGTCTGACAATTTCATATCGCTGTGCTAATGGGACATGGCAACTTGAACCGATACACTGATTAGCTGACTAGCTATATATATATATATAACGAGAAAACAATATTCCTGTCAGAATAGTTAGTAAAATTGAAGTGTAACAAAATTACCAGAGTCAACTTCTAAAAATGGATTCTGAGCACTGGCATTTGTGTCATTGCTCTTCGCAAAAAACATTGGATCATTCACTGAACTTTGTATTCCAAGTAATTCGTTCAGACGATCAATGGTGTTCACGATAAGAATTAAATTATTGAGGGCAGTTATGGAAACAGTTAGGTTACGCTTGGCTTGATCAAGTTGCTGTATATCCCGAGTGATGTCTTGTACCATTTCTTCTGATCTAGTAGCTCGATCTTGAACATCCTGTATTCTATAAGATGAAGTGCACAATGACTTTTTTACTGAAAATTCTGCTTAAAGACAAATAGAGTAGAACAATAAAAAGTGGTAGTAATATTAGCGATAACATTACTACTCTGTCCTTTCCTCTGTTAAGCTATTAAAATAACATAACAATGAAAGAAATCACATTTTGATTATTTTCATGACATATTTTTCAAATAGTAATAACTAAGAAACTAAGGATAAATTACACAAGAGAATGATGTATGTTATGATACATCGTCAGTATACTGGTAAACATATTAGTGAAAATAATGGTCCTGAAGATGTGTCTGACACTCGGTAAATATAAAGTTATTGGCGTTCGTTTTAAAACCAGAAGATATAACGCTAAAAGCCCATTTTTACCGTATGGAGTAAATGCATATAGTACCATATGGCGGATATCTACTTGAGTTGACGACTGGAATACTCATTGTACTACATAAAATTACGTTAGTTTAGTACCTTGTTTAAAACAACCTTAACATTTAGAAATGAGTCATATAACTCATGAAAACTTCGCAAAGATTTGAAGTCACAGACTACTACTGAAGTGGTGAAATGATTTTTTTTCCACGCTATGATACTATTAAACAATCTATTTTCTGCCTCTTTAAAACACTCATTTTGCAAACTAATAGTGTTCAATATGGAAAAATATAGGAGGCAAACAAACTAGTTTTGTAAACTGACTATATTTAATCCACCATTACTATGATCATTAAAATACATCGAACTTTGAGAGCAATCACGTAGAACTCCTGGTGAATATATGCAAGGAACCACCTAGATACGAAATTAGTCTGTAATAACCATATTTGGTAAAAAACCACACACCATACTTACGCAAATCGATGATTAAATGAGTAGAAGAGAGTTATTTATCTATTTTATCACCGTGCAATTAAAAGCTCACTATGGAATTCCATCAAACCTGAAGTGCTGCAAGTAAACAGATCATACTATGGTAAATTCAGGAGGTTTAGCGTAATCCCTAGATAGTTGTGTCCCGAAAGTACTAGTTTATTCCAATACGAAATTTTGCAAATGTCAGTAAACTTTCGACGAAAATTGTTGTTTGACAAACCCTAGCTGAGTATATTTTAACTCAAAGAAGCTAAGTTAGTTTTGATAAAAAGCGTAATACGATTTAACGGCAAAGGATGAAAATAAGACTAATCCTGCTCCCTACCAGTTGATCTTTCGCACAACATTTTGTAGTATAACAGTAGCTAGTACTTGAGAGGCAAGCCGTGTGGTTTTAACTTCAATAACTTAAGTACATTACTTAGGGTCTGTTTGATATGTAAAATAATAGGTGCATTTCATATGAAATGTAGACAGAACTGGAAGCTTCATTAAGAAGGAACAAACTTGCATGCAAAACGAGTCACCTAATGGCAACACTGCGGTATCAAACTTGTGTCATACCAATATTACTTGAAAACACAGATTTTACCTGATTCAGGTAACTATGGCATTAAATCACTCATTTTCACGTATTCAGAACAGCTCAACATGTCAAATAAGTTATTTCAAATACACAAACAATTATCTAAATTTGTGAATTTTTTGATTAAACGTCAAGTAACACTAGTTAGGAAAGTCATCACGAGGTAAATATATGGTATAATACTCATAAAAACCCCTTATATATGAGTGGAAGGATGAATTGATGTATAGAACATCGAGGAAGAAATTTAATGTTGAATATCATTTTATTTATTTATTTCAACACATAAATATTGGTACAAGAGGGCACCAATATACATGCGCCACACCATATTTGTGTGTGTGTGGGCTGTGATACTTCCCGGGTGTCCAGACCGAAGCTAGTGGTTTTCTTAGGGGGCCACACCACGAGCCTTTGACCTAAACGTCTGACCCACAAGGCAGTGAACCAACGTCAGGAGATACAGTCCCATGGTAGCCGGTGACCAACAATTGGTTCATACGCCATTTGTTCCTTTATGATACTGGGGCCCATGTGCACCATTGGTTTGGGATCCGGTTAAAGCGCCGGACATTCGCTTTTCGCCCTCTCATTTTCGTAAACAACACCCTCGCCACGAGAAGGCAGTGAGTAAGACTTCCCTGTATACGTGTGGCCGTGTGAGAGCATTTCGAGAGGGAGGGCGGGCCTACCTCACTCTCGGCCATACCATCATAACAGTGATGGATTGGTAGTTCTAACACTTGACTTTCAGTCATCAGTTTGGATACGTGAGGCAAGTGGTATCACCTGTATTCACACTACGTGGTTCAAAGTATGGTACGCAAACTACCACTTGGTAAACGAGCTAGTGATTATGAAGGTATTTACTTAAATATAAATTTATCTGCAAGTTACACACCAACATAGGTATAAACCAACCTAGAGAATAGTACTTTTATCATATCCTTTGCATCCTGAACAATCTCTTGTCCTTTATCCTCTGTTTGCCAGCGACCACGTAGTAGGTCTCTAGTTTCATCGTCTAGTTCGCGAATTTTTTCTTCCGCTTCAGCTATCAACTCATCTATATTTGCCAGTGACTGCTCGCTGGGAATCTCTAAAAAATATGTCATAGACATTTTGTAGTAAGTTAACCTCATTAATATAAGAAATAACATTAAAATCAGGATCATCTAAACTGTCTGATTTTAAATTAAGCCGGGAAAGCGCTTCCTCAACTTCTTTAGAGTACGAATTTGGATAATTGGAATCGACTTCTTGATTCATTTCACAATGAACATCCATCCTATTATGAAAACAACAAAGGAGGTAAGTTTGGAAACTACAAAAAGAAAGTAAAATATATCCTACCATAATATAGTGACCTAAAGCCCCCTACATTGATTCGCTTTGCTGATTATGGTGGAGTCGTTTAGATTAATCAACTAATTTAGGTAGAGCCAAAAGTTGTATGACGTTAAATGTAAAAATAGAAGAAAAGACATCAAAAATACGAGTACCATACGAAAGAACAAGGTAAGAAGTGTTCTTTACAAATGCTTGAAGCAACTGCGTGACAGGTTTCGAAACAATTCTTCAGGTCACATAACAAAAAAAAACCACAATATCCAGTACAGATACGAAGATATCTAGGCTGAGCTTAAGTATCACCTAACAACAATTCTTAGCCACTAAGATGATAGTCCCAAATACTCCTTAAATCTTTAGTCCTATTTGGACTGGTTTACTTTGATATGAAGGAAATTTCAATACGTTACTCACCCACAATATCCAATGTATCGCTTCAGAGAGAAACGATAAAATCATCTAAAACATGCCTTATTTATATCCCGATTGGAGTCAACTTCTAAATGTCAAGTGCAAGTTGCGACATACTTTGAGTATTTTATCATACCTGTTAAGACATCCAAAACATTACAGTCCGTAAGAAAATCTTTTTGAATTCACTATCGAACTGTAAATTAGAACACACGGAAAATCCTAAAAAATCTTAATGATCAGCAGTTTGTTCTATGCTAATTTATGGCTGTAACATGTAGTCCTCGAGGATTGAATATATTCGTAGGTTATTAGCATTCGAAAACAAACGCCCTGAAAACACCACCCCATGAGTTGTCTAGTTCTTTAGACCCCGTAGGAGCTTAAAAGTCAGGTTTAATAGGTCCACGTAATAGGTAAGAGGAGACCGCAAAGAACTAGTACATACGTCCCATAACTTTTTCTGAATCGTTGGTGTTATGCTGAAAATACTGTCGATTTTGTTTTCTTAATGTGTCCAATGCAGTATCTCCAAAATTTTCCTTTGAATGAGTAGCTTGAGAAAGTGTAATGTATGGCCTTTATGATTTGACTTCCTGTAATGAGGCTCAAATGGAAAATAAATCGGTGCTTTATGGGAGTTTTATCTGTTCACTTTACTAACCGATGCACGGAAGTGATTGTTGAAGCAAAAATCCTCCCTATTTCTGAGTGCACCAAAATTTTTGGTTATAAAGACGTAAAACAGTTCTCCTTCAACTTTCTCCAGTACTGACGAACAGTAAGTGATGTACCAACAATGAACCAGCATTTTGATCTTTGAAAGACAGTGGAACAGCATAGAAAGGAGTGGAATAGCATGATTCCGAAAATGTCTACTTTCCGAAAGAACATCGATCTTTTTAGATTTAGCTTGTGAAGAGCGCATTTAATGCGATGAGACTATAATTTATGGACAAACCAATTAGACATAAGATAACAAGACTCGGATTTTCGTGCGACATTGATTCATCCATTTGGTTAAATAACGCTTCGACATTTTAGATGACATCAGCTTGTGATGAAAACCCTAGATCTAATTCCTAACCCTAACCAACTGCAAACTATAGTTCTCATTCTTCACACTGTTTAGCAACCCTCATGCTATTGCATAGAGGGCTTATACGTGGCGGTAACGTCCACTAAAAGAAAATATGTTCCACAAATCTGTTATCGAATCCTAATCACTGAAATTTCATTAGCTACAAAACCTTTTTTGAAGAGAACATTGCAGTGGGAAACCATATCAATGAACCAAACGACCTTGACGGCGCAAATCAACCTCTAAAGTTCAACCTTCGACTTAAACTTTTCTTGACAGAATTAACGAGCTGTCTGTTCTTTGAGATAGCGCTCTTGGTTACAAGGGGTTATTGCCACTCCTATATTTCTTCTAAAAGTGCAGAAGAAAACAATTAGGATAGCAAATGCAGTGATACTAAAAGCGAAGAGCATGAATGAACTTGTAGTGACTCACATTTATCACGAGAACACGACTGGTTTAATAAAAACAGTTATTATTATAACCAACTGTACCAGTGTTTGTTTTAATGTGCTTTTGTTTGACTGTGCTAATGACAGCTATATTGTGCTTCCATCCTTATTCTTACACTTTGATTGTGACTTCGCGCGAATTCGGTTACGTTCTGTAACCAAGCTTGTATCCTGGCACGATCTCGGTATCCTTTCGATACCACGAGATCGCCAGCAAATATATCTGGACTTGGTTCATTAACTGCCTTCTGATATCTGGCTTCTCGGGGATTTTATGGATTTATTTGGTTACGTTCAACCTTCGCCTTCTGATTTACTTGGAACGTGTTTCTCTGTAGCGGTGTTCATAGTTAGTCTTGACTCGACGCCACGCTAAAACTGGTGAGCTGAATTGTAGAACACGCCGCAACCTCTGGTCGAATCTTCCAAAGAAGCCAATTCGATGAGTCTATTATTTATCTATCCACGTCTGTCGTATATTTTCATATTATCTTTTAATATATAATATACTCGACATGACGGATAACGATAAGAATAGTATTAATATAATAGACTCCCATGTATATGTACCGAATCCTTGTCACTTTTTATTCGCGTGACGGTAAATTCCACGTTTTATTCGAGAAATTTTCCCCTATTAACTATTCTCCTCGCTGGCCCGGCTGCTTGGTACGGAATGCATACGCATACGCATTACCGTCTACCACCCAGCACCGAATGGTTAAGTTGAACGGTTTCACTGCCAATTTAAAAGTGCTCTACAAGCACACAAAAACGGCAACTGGCACGATAACTCACCGCTCGTTCTCTTAGGCATCAGAACGAGCTTGAACGCAGATATTCAATGTTCCGCCGCTGAACTTGTATACGACACGACATTGCGTCTGCCCGGATAATTCTTCACACCACGGAGCAGACCTAATTTCGGCAAATCAGACAACGTCCATCGACTGTCTGGATTTATGCGAACGCTGTCTCCGGTGTCAACTCGAATACAACATCGACAGGTCGCTCTCCCTCGAGAGTTATCTACCTGTTCACATGTTCTCATACGATTAGATTCGGTACGCAAACCTTGGCAACAACCTTACGAAGGCCCTTTTCACGTGATCGCTCGTCACGAAAAGACCTTCAAAGTTGATCGACACGGCCGCGTCGAGATCGTCAGCATTGATCGTCTCAAACCGCACACGTCGATGACAGTGCCCTATCTGATAACCTGAGATTCAATGCTAGACCTATCAAACCTACTGGCGGGATCCTCAAACCATCTTCAGGTCCCACGCTAGATACACCTGAGACCTCATTCTCACGTCCCAGTCAACAGCACGCGTCATCTGCACCGTCTACGGACGAGACGACAGTCTCACGTCCAGATCAGCAGACCACGCCGCCCTTGACTTCGGATGAGATTGCAGGCTCACGCGACGCGAACGAGACTGCCGTCTCACGTTCCGGTCGCCGAGTACGGTTACCCGTACGCTTCCTTGACTAGTCGCACAGTGAACAACCGATACGGTGTAGGATTATTCCTATGCTACACGCATGCTACACTCTTCTCTTTTTTATTTCCTTTTTGTTTCCTGAGCCCGCGCCTTCGACCATCTCCGTTTGGTACCGTCGACTTCAGTCAACTTTGGCGAAAGCTGGCCTGATCACCCACGCTCTTGTCGACGTACTCAGTCGATATATTGGTTTCGAATGCTTGGCATACGCTTGGTCTCGAACTTGGTCGTTATGGTCGCTTCTGGTTCATCGGCTCAACGTGGTTCCGTCCTACAACTGCAGTGTTTCTGGTCCGGACCCCTACGAACGCAATCTTCAGATTCTGGATACAAACCACTCTGGTGTGGCATGCCAACTCAAGCAACAACTACAGCACATCGCTCCTGGTACCGTTCTCCGAAAAAGACCTTCGTTGGCAACTCGACGATCAACGATCGCTTTCCTGTTCGCCAATTCTTCCGTCCTACAATCGCTCGTCAGCCGATCAGTCCCACGATTTAAACCGCTATTTATCGAAAGTGTAAACCCTTTCTAGCGAGGGGCTCCTGTAGTGACTCACATTTATCACGAGAACACGACTGGTTTAATAAAAACAGTTATTATTATAACCAACTGTACCAGTGTTTGTTTTAATGTGCTTTTGTTTGACTGTGCTAATGACAGCTATATTGTGCTTCCATCCTTATTCTTACACTTTGATTGTGACTTCGCGCGAATTCGGTTACGTTCTGTAACCAAGCTTGTATCCTGGCACGATCTCGGTATCCTTTCGATACCACGAGATCGCCAGCAAATATATCTGGACTTGGTTCATTAACTGCCTTCTGATATCTGGCTTCTCGGGGATTTTATGGATTTATTTGGTTACGTTCAACCTTCGCCTTCTGATTTACTTGGAACGTGTTTCTCTGTAGCGGTGTTCATAGTTAGTCTTGACTCGACGCCACGCTAAAACTGGTGAGCTGAATTGTAGAACACGCCGCAACCTCTGGTCGAATCTTCCAAAGAAGCCAATTCGGTGAGTCTATTATTTATCTATCCACGTCTGTCGTATATTTTCATATTATCTTTTAATATATAATATACTCGACATGACGGATAACGATAAGAATAGTATTAATATAATAGACTCCCATGTATATGTACCGAATCCTTGTCACTTTTTATTCGCGTGACGGTAAATTCCACGTTTTATTCGAGAAATTTTCCCCTATTAACTATTCTCCTCGCTGGCCCGGCTGCTTGGTACGGAATGCATACGCATACGCATTACCGTCTACCACCCGGCACCGAATGGTTAAGTTGAACGGTTTCACTGCCAATTTAAAAGTGCTCTACAAGCACACAAAAACGGCAACTGGCACGATAACTCACCGCTCGTTCTCTTAGGCATCAGAACGAGCTTGAACGCAGATATTCAATGTTCCGCCGCTGAACTTGTATACGACACGACATTGCGTCTGCCCGGATAATTCTTCACACCACGGAGCAGACCTAATTTCGGCAAATCAGACAACGTCCATCGACTGTCTGGATTTATGCGAACGCTGTCTCCGGTGTCAACTCGAATACAACATCGACAGGTCGCTCTCCCTCGAGAGTTATCTACCTGTTCACACGTTCTCATACGATTAGATTCGGTACGCAAACCTTGGCAACAACCTTACGAAGGCCCTTTTCACGTGATCGCTCGTCACGAAAAGACCTTCAAAGTTGATCGACACGGCCGCGTCGAGATCGTCAGCATTGATCGTCTCAAACCGCACACGTCGATGACAGTGCCCTATCTGATAACCTGAGATTCAATGCTAGACCTATCAAATCTACTGGCGGGATCCTCAAACCATCTTCAGGTCCCACGCTAGATACACCTGAGACCTCATTCTCACGTCCCAGTCAACAGCACGCGTTATCTGCACCGTCTACGGACGAGACGACAGTCTCACGTCCAGATCAGCAGACCACGCCGCCCTTGACTTCGGATGAGATTGCAGGCTCACGCGACGCGAACGAGACTGCCGTCTCACGTTCCGGTCGCCGAGTACGGTTACCCGTACGCTTCCTTGACTAGTCGCACAGTGAACAACCGATACGGTGTAGGATTATTCCTATGCTACACGCATGCTACACTCTTCTCTTTTTTATTTCCTTTTTGTTTCCTGAGCCCGCGCCTTCGACCATCTCCGTTTGGTACCGTCGACTTCAGTCAACTTTGGCGAAGGCTGGCCTGATCACCCACGCTCTTGTCGACGTACTCAGTCGATATATTGGTTTCGAATGCTTGGCATACGCTTGGTCTCGAACTTGGTCGTTATGGTCGCTTCTGGTTCATCGGCTCAACGTGGTTCCGTCCTACAACTGCAGTGTTTCTGGTCCGGACCCCTACGAACGCAATCTTCAGATTCTGGATACAAACCACTCTGGTGTGGCATGCCAGCTCAAGCAACAACTACAGCACATCGCTCCTGGTACCGTTCTCCGAAAAAGACCTTCGTTGGCAACTCGACGATCAACGATCGCTTTCCTGTTCGCCAATTCTTCCGTCCTACAATCGCTCGTCAGCCGATAAGTCCCACGATTTAAACCGCTATTTATCGAAAGTGTAAACCCTTTCTAGCGAGGGGCTCCTGTAGTGACTCACATTTATCACGAGAACACGACTGGTTTAATAAAAACAGTTATTATTATAACCAACTGTACCAGTGTTTGTTTTAATGTGCTTTTGTTTGACTGTGCTAATGACAGCTATATTGTGCTTCCATCCTTATTCTTACACTTTGATTGTGACTTCGCGCGAATTCGGTTACGTTCTGTAACCAAGCTTGTATCCTGGCACGATCTCGGTATCCTTTCGATACCACGAGATCGCCAGCAAATATATCTGAACTTGGTTCATTAACTGCCTTCTGATATCTGGCTTCTCGGGGATTTTATGGATTTATTTGGTTACGTTCAACCTTCGCCTTCTGATTTACTTGGAACGTGTTTCTCTGTAGCGGTGTTCATAGTTAGTCTTGACTCGACGCCACGCTAAAACTGGTGAGCTGAATTGTAGAACACGCCGCAACCTCTGGTCGAATCTTCCAAAGAAGCCAATTCGG